CTACCAACTCTACCTCAGAAACTGCGGCAGCAGCAGCGGTGGACAGCCTAGCAGCAGCGGACAGCGCAGAAGCACACCACCACCACGACCGACACCTGCGACGCCAACCGCCACTCCTACTGCGCGACGCCCATGCCACGACGCCGACGACGCCAGCGTGCACACTCCAATCCCAGCTGACGACGACGACCTTTGCAGCCCAACCCCTGTTGCGAGCGACGCATATCCCTTCCCTGCCCCTACGCCACTACCTACCCCCGCCTTGCATATGCCAATCCCCCCTGAGCAGCCCACGCCCATCGATTTCCACCCACCCGATCTGCAGCATGACCGACCCAGCTCAGCGCCACCAACACGCACCAGAAGGACAGACCCAAATCGGCACACCCACCCATCCACTACTCTTCTCATTGACATCACTTCCGACGACGATGCACCACCACCTTCCACCCCAGTGCGCATTCCACTAGCCGACATATCCCCTACCGCACCGATGCAGCCAATCCAACCACCACCCCGCTTCCACCTCGCCACGCCTGACCGCGTAAAGAAATAGTATGAAGCAGTACGTATCAATAAAATAAAGCGAAAAAAAAAGAACCGTTAAAGTTCCCAAAAACCCATCGATTGATAGCCACCTGGTACGCACCCCACCCCGCACCGCTCTCCGCAAAAACGGATCATCTAGCCGAACGGCCAAGCACAAGAAAGTCCGCATTTGCGACATCGGAGACGGCTTCGCAGACCCAGGAGACCGTGTGCCAGCCTTCCTCTACGACGAGGAAGCCCCCGCGGTCAACTCACCAAAAAACTAACAAGGCCCTCACCCCCTGGGGGGCAACTGGCCCAGGGGGAGCGGCCCAGCATCATACCAGAAGACTACCAGCGCAACGACGGCACTTCCGACTCCTGCAGTGGTTACGCCGACGACGTCATGCGCCTCCGGGAGCCCCTCCGAAGGAGGAGCAGATCCGCTGCACTTAAGGGCCCCTTAAGTGCAGCGGGCTGTCTTGGCCTCCGGCAGCCCCCAAAACCCTACGACACTTCACAAGTTTCACCTACCGTATCATCAGCCACTAGCGACATGCGCGTGGGGGAGAGCGCACCTCCAGATCTTTACGAGCATGGCGACATGTGGGAAATCCACACACCGCCCAACATGCTACAGCCTAGTAGTGGACCGTGGACCATCCCCTCGGCCTCTACCTCTCGCTTGGGGAGCGCGAGAAGGCTGTCTCACACAGATCCCACGCTAGAACCACATACGCTAGCGGGCCGACCAACTACCGCCACCCAACCTCGACGGCAGCATGTCGACTCACATCCTCCACCAGCGGAAGCCCAGTCACGGTCGTTCCCGACGATGACGACGCCACCGCCTACGCCTCGAGAGGAAGCATCGCTTTGTGAGTACGACACGGGGGGGGCATGTTATTTCAGAGCCCCTCAGAAATAACATCTCCATTGGGTGCGGCCGTCTGTGGCCAGAACGACCAGAGCCACCAACAAGGCATCGACGCACTAGCCATTTTGGCCAAGATGGCGATCGAGACCGACAATTTTGTGACTCACTGAGCCGGCCATGTACATCAACTTCCCGCCGGCCACAATCTCCCATTTTTGACTCCTTTGACGCTACCCAGGTCCCACATGGACAGACCGACCTGCCGAATGCGGAGAGCCACGAGGCGCTACGGCATGTTCGTTTCTCTCGCGAAGTTCACACCCGCGACCAGCAGACCGACAATATCCTCTACCACATCGACTTCGACGAACAGGAGCCCTTACTCCAGCACCTTCGACGACTTCAGGCTCCCAGGCTTACCTTCGACTTCACCGACCGTTGCCACAACGAGGTATCAGACTACATGGTGCGAACTTTTCCATACCGACAGCTTCCACGAGATTCTCGCCTGTATTTATACACCGACGGCTCCAAACACCCACGCCAACATGGTCAAGACGGATGGTCGCTTGTACTCGTCGGAGAAGACGAAGAAGGTTTCTCTTTTCAAGGCGCAATAGTCGGCAAGCACCGCGACTCCACCCTCGTGGAGATCCAAAACCTCACGGACAACGAGACCACCTCGACATCCAGCGAGATCACAGCGCTCATCTGGGCGTTCGCCTACATCATCCACAAGGACATCCACCACAGCATTTCGGTCCACTCCGACTCGCTGGGAGCGATCCAACTGGCCAGGATGGAGGCTTTTACTAACCGCGACGCCCACCTTGTGCAGCTACTGGTGATCATGTACTCGCACGTCAAGGAATATGTCGACCTGCGTCACGTTCATGCCCACGAGATGAACCCGTGGAACGAAGTTTGCCGACGCCGCGGCCAACTACGCCCGAATCGAGGACTACCCGCACCCACAACCCGAATGGGCCGACATACTCAACGCGTCCCCTCAGCGCAGCTGGGAATTCCTACTTGATGCCGACAACCACACCAAGGACGCTTACCCATCCTTTTCACCTGGGATGCTCAAGGCCCAACGCATCGATACCACGGCAACGACAGCTCACCTTTCGACACCAGCCAAGACCACGAAGACCTCGACCGAGATAGACGTCAACATCGCCACCTACAACATCCAGTCAGGGCGCGAACCTGGCCTCGGCGCTCGACGGCGCAAAGAGAAGATCCACAAGCTCAGAAAGACTAAGCTCAACCTGTACATGGAGGACCTCCACCTGATCGGCATCCAGGAAGCCCGCACGCCCTGGGGAGTTCGCAGTGGCAACGACATCACCAGCACGAGTGCGTACGCCTACCACGTCATCTCAGGGGGCCACGACCAGTACAACCTCGGCTGCGAGCTCCACATACTCACCAGCAAGCCGTACGGAAAGGCAGGAGCCAAGGACCTCTACTTCCGCCCCGATCAGTTCACTGTCATCGAGCACAGCCCTCGGCACCTCATAGTAAGGATCGAAGCCCCAGGCTTTCGACACACAGTCTGCGTCGCCCATGCACCACATTCACGAGCCACGCCACACGAGAAGGATACCTTCTGGGAGATGATCGAGTGCGCAACCTCTAACCACAATATCAACATCTTCTTCATCGACGCAAACGCTCGAACGGGCAGCTTATGCAGCCAGGCAATCGGCGATCAAGGCTTCAAGCAAAAGGAGGACGACAACGGCGAACGCTTCCACAAGGTCCTGCAAGGTAACTCTCTCATCGCCGCGAATACCTTCAAAAGCGGTGGCCAGGACCACTACACCTGGGACTCGGGCAAGGACGTGCACAGACTGGACTACATAGTGGTTGGCCACGAGCTCTTCGACTCCATCTCCTACACGTCCGTAATGTACGGCATCGACACAGTAGACGACCACTCACACAAGAACGACCACTTCCCTGTCAAGGCCAACCTCGCCTACACCGTCGAGACCGCCTACCAACACGGCACGCCCAAGCTCGACATCGCTAAGCTCGACTCCGAGACAGCCAAGAACGACTTTCAACGACGCCTGCAGCAGATCCAACACCCTCCCTGGGAGACCAACCTCAACGACCATACTAAGAGCATCGTCGATCAGATAAAGGACGCAGCCTACGCCAGCTTCAAGAAGCAGCATCATGCCCCCCGCAAGCCCTACATTACCGAGGCCTCCTACGCGCTTCTTCGATTCCGACGCACCCTCCTCAAGACGATCCGCATAGCGAAAAGGAATGGCATTGGCTCCAAGAAATCACGCAGACGGATCCGATACACCGCGCACCTCATCGCAAACCAGTCGGCTTCAGCGTCCCCTGACGACGTCATCCACCTCCTGGACATCCCTGGATACACCAAGTTGATGATCAAGACCATCCTCTTCATCAACCACGCGGACCCCGACCATACCACGGCTCCACACCACGACAGCACCTCCTGCACAACCACCTTCACTACTGATCTTTTCGACTCATACATGAGCTTCATCCAAGATACCGACCGCGCTCTCAGAAACCGCCTCGACCACGACCGCGACGCCCACCTCGAGCGCTTCTCCGACAACATGATATTATCAGCAGCAGGGAATGCCCCTCGGCAGGAATGGGCAAGCGTGAGAGCCTTACTCACATACGGCGGCCGTACACCTAAGAGAACTCCGACTCCCAAAATACGCCAAGACGATGACGGCGCTCCACTCACGACGCCACAAGCCATCGCGGAGCACGCCCTTCGATACTACGGCAACATCGAGAACGGCATCAACACCGACATCGAAGGCGTCGTCAAGTACTACAACAACAAGACTGCGCACACTAAGCCGATCCCCCACATCGACAACGTCCAGACCATCCACAACCTGACATCCGCCCTGGCAGCCGCCAAGAAAGGCAGACGCGGCGGGCCCGACGGGAACACCGACGACATGGCACGAGCAGCGCCGCGCCAGATGGCCCGACTACTGCACCCCATCATGATGAAGATGCAGCTGATGACGACGGAGCCCATTTCGGCGAAGGGCGGCTTCTCCACCCATTTCTCCAAAGGACAAGGACAGCTTCATCTGCAGAATGCCTACAGGGGCATCCTCCTGAACAACACTATTGGCAAGATCAACAGCAAGTTCCTGAGAGGCCTCTTCCGCGACATCTTACCCGACCTGCTTATGGACACACAATGCGGCGCCGTCCCTCACAAGGCGACTGACTTCATCACTCACACCGCCTACACCTTCTTAGACGACTGCCGTACGCAGGCTCGCACGGGCAGCATCCTCTTCCTGGACTTGAAAGAAGCCTTCCATTCGGTAATCAGGGAGTTCATTTTCCAGCTGCCGACTCAGGAGGACGAGCTCGAAGACGTCATCGACAACATCGAGATTCCCATCTGCCTTCTTCCCTCTCTACGACAACGCCTTCGCTGTCCAGCACATCTCAACGCCCACGTCGACGACTCTCACCTCTGCGCCCTCGTTGCCGACCACCACACGGCCAACTGGATGACCGCTTAGGGCACCGACGCATACGTGATCCCTCGCACTAGTACCAGGCCAGGGGTGCCATACTCCGACGCGGCTTTCAACATGCACTTCTCCCTAGTGCTTCAGGCCATCGCCGACGACACCGATGGGGCAGAAGACGGCGAGAGCGGCCACCACATCCGCCCCTGCGACAACCCGCTCTTCTTTACGGCTCCTCATCACGGCGGCAAGCTGACCAACATGTCCTTCGTCGATGACCTCACCGACTTCAACTCGACCACCCGCCACTCCGACATCATTGATATTACGAGAACTTCAGCCGAACGACTATGCCGTACAGCATTCACCTACGGGCTCAAGCCACACCCAGACAAGACCAAGGTCATCCTCTCCTTTAACGGGACGGGATCCAACGTCGCACGCAGTAGGCTTGCACAGCAGAACATTACATCAATCCAGCTGAGCATCATGTCGATCTCGGTCCAGATCACAGACCAGCACCGACTCTTAGGCACCATCCTCACCAGCGGCAGCATGGGCCCCGAGGTGCAGAATCGCATGCGACGAACCGACGCTTCGGCACGAGCTCTTGAGAGGCAAATCCTACGACGTCGACGCCTACCCCGCAAAACAAAGATCAAGTACGTGCACGCCCTCTCGACTGCCTCATTAACCTTCAACCACCACGTCTGGCCAGCACTGACCCAGACTGACCACCAGCGCATCTCCAATGCCTACTCGAAGCCCTATCGCACGGCAGCTGGAATACCGAAAGCTAACTCGCAGCTTCATCATTTCACGGCCACCGAAGTAGTAGCCTACACTGGCATCCCCGACTTCGACCACCACCAGTCTGCTGGAAGGCTGCGATACTTACCACGGCTTCTACGATACGCTCCTCAGCAGCTCCTCCAACTGCTTGACAACCAGCGACGGAGAAAGGGCTCATGGACATACATGCTTTTCCAGGACTTCGACTTCCTGCGCACATACCTGGACGACCAGCGCTGGCCCACGACCAGCAAGCTCGACTCCGACGTTTTTGCATGGGCACGCGCCACGCCGAAGCACTTCAGCAACTCCGTCAACCTGGCTGTCACAAACTACATCCGCGCATCCAAAGACCGCGCCCGCGCCGACAAGCTGACCAAGGTGCTCAGACCCGACGGTCCCATTGGTGCGGACCCCACGCCATCACGCGACAACGGCGCCAGCAACTTCATCTGCTACGAGTGTGGAATCGTTACCAAGACCAAGCAGGGCATGGCAATACATATCGGACGTGAACACCGACGACCTGAGCATCCGCGAAACTGGGCATCGGGTACATCGTGCAGAATATGCCGCAAGAACTTCCACTCCTTCGCCAAGCTCGTGAAGCATCTAACTACGGTCGCCCGCTGCCGACGGTCTTGGCACCTGTGGTATTTACAAGGGCCTGCCCTCACGGAAGAGGACGTGGCCACCAATCAGGCGACCTACGCAGCCAGCATAGCCGACAACAAACGCAGAGGCCGCCCCGAACTATACCACCCTATCCCTGCCCACGCATCCGACGTCACTCCCTTACCCTCCCTTGACCTTTCACCATCACCACCGCCATTCTTCCCGACGGTACCAGCGATTACACCACCACCACCAGCCTACTACCCTCGGACACCGACCAGAAACAGATCTCTGCTTTACCTCACCAACATTGACAGACACCCGAACGATCTGCTCGACACTACGGACCAACGACTATGCTACAATGGAATGGTGATGGAACGGGTTACTCTGACCTTCGATGACCTCTACTCTGTCGACCACCCATCTCAGTACGACGCCCTCGACTCGCTCCACCAGCACATACGACAAGGCGACTTTGCTGGAGTGATGATCAACCTCTCACCCAGCACGTGGATCGACCAAGTCGATGGCTACCCGCCCGACAGAACGGCAGCATCTTCCAGAACGACCACGGACCCCTGGGGCAGAGTAAACCTTGGAGGTGAGGCAGCCGAACGCCGATTGATTGCGAACCACCACGCCCGCCTCGCCATCCACACCTTCCACGCGGCTCACGTCGCCGAAGTACCAGCACTACTAGCGCAATCCTCAGCCCCAGCAGGTCCGTCAGTGATGTGGAATACTGAGATGATGCTCTACGCTACGGAGAACCTTGCTACGAGACGACCGACCATCATAGACGACGCCAGCAGCCTCTACGCCATCTACTTCGGCCTCTCCCAGGACCACGGTAATCCCCTCGACGACTTCGTCACCTCCATTTTGGGCAGTCTGCCCCAGCTTGGTCGGACAGCAGCCGCTGATCCGACGACCCGATCTGGCCGTAACATGGCCCAAGACGATCGAGACAGGCGCCCACCACGGCAAGACGGCCGCAGTGCTCACGGAGGCCGCCAGCCACATCCTGGACGCCCCCTCGAGGGCGAGGGGGGGGAGGACTCGGTTCAGGCCTGACCGAACCGAGCCGCCGCCGGCGGGCCGCCGCCTGCGCGCAGGCCGTCACGGGTTTTTTTTTTCCCTTCCTCTTCAGGCCTTTAATGAGCCCCCTCTTCCTCCTTCCTCGTTCCCGAAACTCCTGGGCCCGTTTTCTCGGTCCTTTTCGGCCCCCGCCCCTCTGGCGGGAGCATGTGTCGGGGGGTGACCCCCCCCCACGCGCCTCGGGCGCGCGCGCGTAGCTTCGGCCGCGCGGACGGCTGCGTCCAACTGGACATCGAGCCGATAGCGATAGCGATAGCGATAGGTGGAGGAGGAGGAGGAGGAGGAGAAGGGAGGAAAAGAAGGGACGATGATGATAGGACCCATGACGGAGGAGAGGGGACGGACGGATGATGAGCGCTAGTGGGCGGGTGAGGAGGAGGAGGTGAAGGAGGAACAGGAGGAGGAGCAGAAGGATGAGGAGGAGGATGAGAGGGAGCAGCAGCAGGAGAGGAAAACGAAGTGGAGCAGCAACATGGAAAGCACGACAGACATTGCCAGTACGTCTCATTGTGGCGTGAGGGGAGTGTGTCCTCGTCGCGCGAGGGCTCAGGTCGGGGTCGTCGGTCATCAGCGGCGCGGCCGGGCCGCACACGTGGCACTCCTGAGGGCAAGAGGAGGCTCCGACACGGGAGAGCGCGAGCGAGTGAGGGGGGGAGACAGAGAGAGGGACAGGGAGGAGGAGGAGGAGGAGGAGGAGGAGGAGGAGGAGGAGGAGGAGGGGGAGGAGGTGGAGGAGGAGGGGGAGGAGGAAGAGGAGGAGGAGCAGGAGGAGGAGTGAGAGCGAGAGGGAGTGAGGGGGGGAGACAGAGATAGGGACAGGGAGGACTAAGGGAGGAGGAGAGGAAGGAGGTGGGAGGAGGAGGAGGATTCTGTTTCCAGTGCGCCGCTGCCAGCCAACCTCCAGAGTCAAAAGAGCCAGGGTTGCCTGGCAGGGAAAAGGAATTACGCCAACCATCTCGTAGAGGTCTTAGACGGCGGGAGGCCCTTGCAAACCCGTTGCAAAACCTCGAGCTGGTGTTTTGTGATGGTGTGCGGTCCCAGCGCGGCCACGGGACAAGGCTCCCGCAAGGAGTCAGGGCGAGCTACTGCCCACTAGCCGCATTCACCGCAAAAAGCGAAGGCACCCTTATGCCACAAAACGTGTGACGGGTGGACCGCCTTGCCCGCGACCCAAGGCGCAACACGCGGGGGGGGCGGGTCGAGCCTCAGGCGACGCCAAAGGGCATCATCCCTGGCGGCCAGGGCCCGACCTGGCCTCGCCCACTTCTTCACAGCAACCTCCTCCGCCACCACCGACTCCGAACCCCCAACTCCACCTCCTCCACAAGCAGAGCAAGCCGAGCGGAGCCTCGCACGGAGCGAGGGGGCAGCGTCGGATATCGAAGCCTTGTACATCCCACAAGTCCAAACGCCAGAACCAAACTCCCAAACGTGCGACGAACCCCTCACATCAGCTTCGATCCACCGACGCCTGCGGAGCACGAGATCAATGGGCCTGCGCTCAGGCTCGGACTCGAGGGCAGCACACTCGAGAATGATAGAGGCGTTACGCTTGAGGATGGCACAAGCATTGCCGACTAGCTCATTATAAGCCTGGACAATTCCATTCGGAACCTGGCATTCCCGAGCCCGCAATTCAGCAAGCTCATCGGCGACAGAGTTGAGCACTACCTGGTCCCAGTCTACAGAGTCGCCAAAACGGGCGAGCTTTTGGGGATCCTCCAACAGGTGGCTGGGAACATGGAAAAGCTGGAAGTCCCCAGGTCGCTCCGCGAGAAGCTGCCAGAATTCCCACCAGAGATCAAAATTTGCCAGCCTCGCAGAGGCAGCACGGCCAGCCAGGAAACCTTTGACAATATTGGCATGGTCGGTGACCACGCGCAGAGCTTGGGCAGGGTCAATGCAACGAAGGCACTCCACAATGGCCGCAAGCTCTGCGCGGGGAACCGTCTGTCGAACCGAGTCGAGTACACCTGTGACTCCACAATCCCAATCAACATCTTCGCTCGGGCGGAGCCGCACAAAGGCAAAGGCAACTCGTCGGAGGACAGGAAACTTGGCAAACTGCCCTCCCGTGCCATCAGTGGCATAGAGGCCTCCTGGCAGACAGCCTGGAAACAAGGCCCCAGGACAACGCCGCCCCTGGAGGTCCCTGGAATCAGGCACAGGAGGGAGGTTGAACCAAGAGAGGGGAATAAGACCACGCATCCAGAAACACGGAAACTGGAGAGCCTCCTGCTGGGCACCGTGCCTAAGGTGCTGAGAGTCAACAATCTCTTGGACCTGCGACGAAGCATTACACATGCACTCCCAAAACCTGTGGCAGGAGGTCTCGGGGTCACGCTGGCAACGCCTACATATGGGATCAGGAGCCAACTGGGCCTTGTGCCTTCTCCCCTCGGTCCAATACCTCCAGAAACCAAGAGCCGAATCATAGCCGCGAGGTCCCGAAGCCCATCCTTCTCGAGGGAGGCAACAAGGTCCCAGACATGATGGAGAGAGACAGGCCCCTGGATTCCAGCGCCATCTAGGTGCTCGGAAGCCTGGCGCCACTGTAGGGTGCCGATGGAATCGTCAAAGGCCTCGAGAAGAGGGCCTAGCGGGCCGTGCCCGTCCTCCATCATCTGCCACTCGTCACCACAAGGCGCGATTAGAGTGAAAGGTGAGGGGCACTGCCATCCTACCGCCAACATCGTGGCTTGAAAAGCCGCCATCGGGCCACGGACCCAGGACCACCCTTTTCGGACCTTGCGCAAGGAAAAAAAAAAAAAAAAAAAATGAAAATAAAAAAATAAAAGGAAAAAAAAAAAAAAAAGAAAAAAACCAAGAACAAAAAAAAAAAAAAATAAAATGAAAAAAAAAAAAAAAAAAAAAAAAATAAAAAAAAAAAAAAAAAAAAATAAACAAAAAAAAATAAAAACAAAAAAAAAATAAAAGGAAAAAACATACCAAAAAAACAAAAACACATCAAAAAAAAACCTACACCACAATAACCAAATTTGCCAGCCGCCCAGAGACAGGCCAGGCGTCGGAGGAGCCCAGGGCGGCCCGCAAGGCGAGCAAACCACGACTTGACGACACGCCGAACGTAAACCTGGAGGGGGTCCTGGCCATAGCCAAAAGTGAGACGGATAGCGGTTGTGGCACACACACCTCTCTGCGGGGTCTTGCTAGCAGCACGAGCCATGCTGCGGAGGCCTTTGAGCATGGAGGGAGAGACACCGTGAATCTCGGGCGCCCACATGGCCTTCGCATAGGCACTAGGAAAGAACAATTTACTGGCTTGCCTGCACGTGCGCCCAAAACTGAAAATCTTACTAGTGGCATCCCGCCCCTTGATGAAACGGGTCTTCCTGACCGCCACCGTCCTTCTGGCGCCCAAAGCGGTGTCGTAGGAGGAGGAGGAGGAGGAGGAGGAGGAGGAGGAGCAGAAGGAGGAGGAGGAGTAGAAAGAGGAACAGGAGGTAGAGGATCCAGAGGAAGGTGTAGGAGAGGGAGGATTTGAGGATGCTTACGATGAAGATACAGAGGACGATAATGATGATCTGGGGCTGATGTTGTTGTTCACGATGGTGATGTTGGTTATGTTGCTGTTAGTGTTGTCGTTGATGATGGTGATGATAATGATGATGCTGATGCTGGTAATAATGCTGATGATGATGCTGCTGATGATGATGATGATGATGCTGATGATGATGATGATGATGATGATGATGATGATGATGATGATGATGATGATGATGATGATGATGATGATGATGATGATGATGATGATGATGATGATGACGGTGACGATGATGGTGATGGTCGTGATAATGATGATGATAGGGGGCTCATGGTGACTGACAAGGGGAAGAGGGAAAGGGAGAAGCAGTAGCAGCTGGGGTGAGTACGGGCAGCCTGCAAAGGCCGGTGCGGTTTGGTTTGGTGTGGGTTTCTGCTCCCTTGAGCTCCGTAGGGCTGAAGCGCCGCCATCGTTCTGCGTTCATCCTGTGGACAGTGGCGGCAATCCTTTTCCAACTTCCTCACGTCCCCCTCATCGAACTCCCAATCATCAGCAACAGCATCATCATCCTCATCAGCATCGTCACCAGCATCATCATCTTCACCATCATCACCAGCATCATCATCATCATCAACATCATCACCATCACACACCATCATCGCCATCATCAACACCATCATCATCCTCCTCATCCTCATCATCCTCATCATCCTCATCCTCATCCTCATCATAATCATCATCATCATCATCATCAGCATCAGTATCAGCATCAACATCATCATCGTCACCATCATCAACAACATCCTCGGCATCCTCATCATCATCAGCATCAGCAGAAGCATCAGCCTCATCATCATCACAAGTATTATAATCGTCATCAGCATCATCAGAATCCCCAGCATCATTACCATCGTCGCCATCATCATACTCATCATCATCATCATCATCATCATCATCATCATCATCATCATCATCACCACCATCATCATCATCATCAGCAGCAGCAGCATCATCACCAACATCAGCATCATCATCATTATCAACACGCCTTCCCCTCCTCAGCAGCAGCAGGAACACCGTCCATCACCATCACCATCACCATTGCCATCGCCAACATCGTCATCGTCGTAGTCGTCGTCGTCGTCGCCAGAATCGTCAACCTGACCGGCATCACTGCTCCGAGTGTCACTGCCGTGATCCGACCAACCCGTTTGAGGCGCACGTGGTCTGGCGAACTCGGCCTTCAGGACCGTTGCTTCCCCTTCGGGGAGGGACCTTTGCCCCCTCCCCCCTGGGGTCTGGACGGGGGGAGGCCGCGACGCCTGGAGCGTCGGAGATGGCCCAGGATGGATCCACGAGGGCCTCGGACAGACCAAGGTGGCCTCGAAGGTGGCACAGGATAGCCCGAAATGGGCCGAGGTAGTCCCACGGCACGTTTCCAGGAGGCCCCAAGACCGCCCCCGAAGACGGCTCCGAGCGGCCGCGGGTCCTCCCAGGGACGCTCCCGAGAGTCCCAGGCCCGTCCGAAGTCCGAGGTGCATCCCGCGGCCTCAAGGTGGCTCCAAGATGCCCCAGGGGCCACAAGAGAGTCCCAAGAGGGGCCCAGGGGGGCTCCAGAGCTGCCTCGAGAGCGTCCAGGATCGCCCCAACCAGGCACCGAGAGACGTTGGTTCGCCCCCGTGCCACCCCCAAATGGCCCCAAGAGGGCCACCAGAGAGCCCCAGAGGCCTCCAACATTGCCCCAAGGGGGGCCCAAGACGGCCCAGGTAAGCTGCCAAGAGGCTCCCACATCGGAAGATCCGCGAAGGCATGTATGGTTGACTCAGAGGCATGATTAGGCTGATCCCTATGTTCGGTTTGACTGCTGCCCCACTCGTTGTTCCACAGGGTTGCTCCTGCACTCCCTTGATCAAGCATCATCCCCATCAGCATCCTCATATTCCTCTCCTCCTCGAGCTCCCCAGGATCCCCCCCCCCTCCAATTACCCTTCGTGGTTACAGCCATCATCGTTAATCATTCGCAATGCCGCAACCGTCATCATCATCATCATCATCATCATCATCATCATCATCATCATCATCATCATCATCATCATCATCATCAGCATCATCATCATCCTCATCATCATCATCATCAGCATCATCATCATCAGCATCATCATCAGCATCATCATTATCATTATCAGCATCATCACCATCATCATCAGCAGCAGCATCATCATCGGCGCCGCCACCACCTAGTATTATCACTATCGCATACTCATCATAATAAACATCCTCCTCGTCATCCTCATCGCCATCATGATTATAGTCGTCGTCATCATCATGATCATCACGATCATGATCATCATCAGCAGCAACAGCAGCAGCATCATCATCACCATCACCATCACCATCACCACCGTCATCACAAACATCATCACAGTCCTTTCCATCATCATCGACATCATCCTCATGGCCACCATCATCATCATCGCCATCGTCCCCATAATCCTGTGGACAAGAATGGCCTGCTCGTCGCACGGCATCGCGAACATGCCGCCGAACTCCTCGTGGTCGAACATCCAGATCCAGTAGTGGAGGTAATAGAGGTGCTCGACGTTGCGGAACCTAGGAAGGAGAAGGGCGAGGAGGAGGAGGAGGAGAGGAGTAGAGGTGGACAAGGGAGGGGAGAGGAGGGATACGCGAGAGAGCAGGTGGGAGGAGGAAGCGCTCGACGCTGCGGCACTGGACGAGCTGAAACGGCATTGTCGTAAAGCCTCAGAGGCGCCGATCTCTTGGGTCGGCGCGGACCCCCTGGTGACCCTACCGGGGGGGGGGCGACGGAAAGAAGCGGGTCCTAAGCGAGATGACACTGAAGGGGCCCCAGGACACACAAATTGATACACACAAATTTTGAGAGAAACAACAACAAAAAAACTTCCCATATTTTCTGGGTCTTCGTCTTCCCCCCCACTTCCCGTATTTTCCGATATTTTCTGGGGGGTCGACGATGAAGTGTGTCTGTGTGTTTTTTCCCTCCTGAGACACAGCGACCTCACGCCGTGGCTTCCGCGGGCCGCCGACGCGGCACGCCACACTGGAGACGAGGGCGCCTGCGCGCGGCCTTGCGCGGGCAGATTGCGCGCGAATGTCGGCGCAGTCGAGCCCGAGGTTGTGCGTCACTCAGGTCGGGGCGGCTCCTCCTCCTCCTCCTCCTCCTCCTCCTCCTCCTCCCTCCTCCTCCTCTCCTCTCCTCTCCTCCTCCTCCTCCTCCTCTTCATCCTCCTCCTCCTCCTCCTCCTCCTCCTTACTCCCCCTCCCCCTCCCCCTCTCTGGCGCAAGCCACCGCGCGGGGCGCCGGGGACGGCGCTCGGGGCGGGGAGCTCCGTGCCGGCCCCTGGGATCTGCGCGGAACTGCGGCGAGGTGGAGAGGGGGAGGAGGAGGAGGAGGAGGAGGGAGGAGGAGGTGAGGAGGAGGAGTAGGAGGAGGAGGAGGAGGAGGAGCAGGAGCAGGAGGAGGAGGAGGAGCAGGAGCAGGAGCAGGAGCAGGAGGAGGAGGAGGAGGAGGAGGAGGGGGAGGAGGAGAAGGAGGAGGAGGAGGGGGAGGAAAGTGCCACGACATAGGTCCAGGGGACGGCCCGCAATCCCGAGCCCCCCCCCCCCCCTGAGCCCAGAGCGGTCCTCCTTTCGGCGTCTTGACTGCATGCTTGTGTACTTGTGTGCTTCATCGTGGCGCTGCGGAACCACACGCCCAGGATGAGGTCGTCGTTCGCCCTTGACTTCAGCCGGAGGCCCATGTTGGCCATGAGCAGGGCGACGTCTGAGGAGACGATGAATCCCATTCCGTGGGCAAAAACAGGCACCTCTGGGAGGGGGAGGAGGACAAAGGACAGGTGTAAACCCGATACTCGTCAGTGATACTGCGAGAAACGCTCCCTCGAAGCTCCTTGTTCACAGCTCCCTATAAGGATCCATTTTCACTGAGGGAAGTGCCCCGTTGGAAGACAATCGTCTGAAAATCCTGAATTGCGTCGGAACACCATTCCTGGAACTTCAACGCTGCGAATTGCCGTTTTTGTTGCGTCCTGACGGTCGCGAATCGCACCATAACGCCATCCCTGGAGTTCCAGCACCGCGAATCAACGCAACTGCTGCGCCCTGACAGTCCGACATCGTGTCAAATCACCTTTTGGGGGACGTCAACCACAGGGACCCTTGAGAAGGTTGTAAGATGGGAAGACGAATGAACGCGGCGCTCAGGCGAGAGCCACATTGTGAAAATGAGCCGTCCTTCAAGACGCGCGGCGCTAATGCGAGAGCCGCATTTTGAAACCACCCGCTCTCCATCCGTGAACATCTTCCAATATGTTACAACGAGTGTGCGCGGCGCTAGGGCGAAACGCCCAGACCGTTCTGCCGACACGTCTCGGGGTGCGACAAGGAAGAATTAGTTACAAGGAGACGGAATGGAGGGGGAGGAAGGAAGAGGAGGCGCAACGTGCCCAAACAAGTTTGTCAAAACCTCTTCACTGAAGCTACAACCACCGCTACTAGAACTACTACTATCATCACATCCGCCACAGCTTCCCTGCTCCTGTCTTCCAGCACTGCTAGACCCCTGAGACTGTAAAACGTCCCTCCATGCTCAGGTTCGTCGCACTGAAACGAACGGACAAAACACGCTCGCAGAAAAAACGGGCAAGAATGCCGCGGGCCGCACCACGACTTGTCATCGCCAAAATCATGTCAAGAACCTTCGCAATAGGGGCCGCCCAGGCATCCCCAGGAGTGGCCCCAGGGCCAATGATGCAGCTTAGGTAAACGGTCCTTGACGCAAGGGCAAAATCCCGCCAGCAAGGATTCAACCCTCTCAGCGCATCACGCATGCACTCCACAACGGCAGCAAAAAGCTCTGCTCAGAGGGGGATAGCAACCCACTTCCGAGCTTGCAACACGAGCTCGGCCAGCCGCGAGGCCAACCTGAGGATCCGACCAAGGAGATGATACAACGCCCTCCGGTGCCGCGTGACCACGCCAATCTCGTCCGCGCAAGCACGCATGATTCCCCGGCGAGCACGATGAATGTCGAGTTCCATGTTGGGCAGAAAAGGATCCGGTCTGAATTTGAAAAGAGTGCCACACAGAGGGCAGCCTTGAAGCACTCCTGAAACCAGACAAAACAAGAATATCCCCATGGGCAGAGAAGTAAGGATTGAGATGATAGAAGACAGCTGCGGCAAGCTTAAAGCCCCTCGGCATGGGCGCATCTTTTGCGACACAAAGCACCCATGATTGCCTGACCAAGGACAAGCTCGGGCGAAATCAAACGCAATGAAGGTAAGGGCTTGACAGGGATCTCCGACATAGCGAATGATAGTCTCACGGGCAACCGAATCCAGACCCACAACATCGTTTAGAAAGTTGCGCCCAGGGATCAAGCCTCGTTGCGATGGGGGGGCCAAGCCCTTTGCAAGGCTTTGCTCAGCGCTTTATCAACTACCGCTGCTACAGTTTTGCTGGGCGAGCTCTCGAGCACCAGAGGGAGACGATCGCCGCCCGCACGGATAACTCCACAACGCGCCGGGCCCTCGTCTGGGACCGGTTTCGGAGGAAATGCCTGGATCGAAGCACTTAAGGATGGCAGCGTCCACTGTCCTTCGAGCGCGAGAAGAAGAACTTGCTACTCGATGTAGAACCTTCGGCCCGTCGCCGCGCCTCCCGCGGGCGAAGGGAGGGCCACCGGGGCCAGGGGCGGAGGACGAGAGGCCCGAGAGAGGCGCCCCACGATCGAGCAACAAGGACGGAGAAGGGGGGGCCCCGAAAGCCCCTGGAGCCGAGAGCGAAGCAGGGCACGCATCGCTCCTCCTCCTCCTCCTCCTCCTCCTCCTCCTCCTCCTCCTCCTCCTCCTCCTCCTCCTCCTCCTCCCCCTCCTCCTCCTCCCCCTCCCTCCTCCTCCACATCGGCGGGGCGCGGCTACCCATTGGGGAGAACTCGGGGCCGAGTACTTCTGGCGTTCTGCGGCAGATTGGCCTCGGGAGATTGAGCAGCCCCCCCGCGGCCCCGCCCTCTCCCGCGCCGCCAGAAATTCCCCCCCCGCCGCCCCCCCCGCCGCCCCCCCCCGCGGCCGCGCCGTCATCGGGCCCTCCGAGCAAGGGTAGCCTTGCGGACCAGGATGCGCGAGCGCACGCCTGGCCCCCGCTCGCCCCTCGCCTCCTCTGAAGGGGAACTGGGACACACAAATAAATACACACAAATAAAAATGTCCTCCCTATTTTCCTGTATTTTCTCGGTTTCTGTCCCCCCGCCCACTGCCCATATTTTCCTATATCTTCCTAGGAGTCGCCGATCAATTGCGTCTGTGTGTTTTTGTTCCCTCCCGATCCTCGCCCGGCGCGGCGCGACGCCTCGCCTCGCCGCGCCTCGCCCCGCCCCTTGGCCTCCGCGGCGCAGCGCGCAGCGCATCGCGCCTGGCTGGGCCAGTCAGCGAGGGCCGCCCCGCGCGCCGAGGCCGACGGGCGAGACCGCGCCCGCGGGGCTCGCGCCGGCGGCGCGGGGGCCCGCTGGCAGCCCCGGCGGGCATCGCAGCGCGCGGCACCTCCTCCTCCTCCTCCTCCTCCTCCCTCCTCTCTCCTCCTCCTCCTCCTCCTCCTCCTCCTCCTCCTCCTCCTCCTCCCTCCTCCTCCTCCTCCTCCTCCTCCTCCTCCTCCTCCTCCTCCTCCTCGACCGCCGCTCTCGACAGAGAGGCGCGCGGCCGAGGCGCCGACGAAAGGCCCCCCCGCGTGCCCTCCCGGAGCTGCCCGCCGAGATGTCGCGGCGAGCTCCAGAGCTGCGGGGGCGCCGCGTCTGCCGGCGTCGACCAGGGCCTCGCGCCCCGAGGCACGTCTGCCATACTGGCCATCGCTCGGACGTCCCTTCCTTGTGTTTTTTTCGGTTTCGTGCGTGGCTTTTTCGCCAAATGATCAAGGATGCTCCTCGCCGAAGGAACAAGGAAAGGAAAAAGGAAAGGCTTCTCGCCAAATGATCAAGGATGCTCCTCGAGGGTCCTCGCCGAAGGAAAAATGCACACGCCCGAGCGATGCCAAGCATAGATAGGGGGCCGGAGGCGGCCCGCCGATGGGGGAGCGGGCGGGGGCGGGAGCTCGCCCGGGCGCCCGAGGCCTGCGACGCAGGACGACAGACGCCGGGGCACGAGATCGCGAAATCTCGCGGCCGGCGGCTGGAAGATCTCCCGCGGCTCGCGGCACCGTAAAACACTCTGACGGCCGTCGCCGAAGACCCCAGGGGGCGGTAAAGCATCTGTCTACACGTGCCGGAAGAGGAGGCGGGGGAACGGAGGAGGAAACGGAAAAGGATCAAGAAGAGGACACAGTGCCAACGCGCGGAGGCCCCGCTCGAAAGTTCCGCGCGAAAGCTTCCGAGCCCGGCGCCAGCGACGGCCACCGACCCCCGGCCCCCTCCAAACAGCAGTACTAAAGTATTCTTCCAACCTCGATCGGCGCAGCGGGGACTGCGGCAGACCGATCTTCGCCAGCCCACGCAACCTCCGACATGGAGGAGGAAGAAGGGATATCCACTGCATGGATGTTCCAATGGTGCGGCAACAAAGAACGGGGCGAGAATGTGAAGATACATCGCGGGACCGACAACGATTTCTTTCGCCCAAAGTTTCAAACTGAAGCGCCCCAGGGGCACGGGGGCGAGGCGCCCCCCCCCCCCGCTTTCGGTCCACGGTTGGCCGCGACATCGATCATCGCCGAGAGCGCTGAAGCCCCCACGCACGCCAGAGACTAGCCGCAGCGCCGCAGAGGCTTGCAGCATCCCCCCCTGCGAGATGGCCGCACGATGGCCGTTCAATAAAGCAAGAGATGATCTGCGCAGGAGGCCTTCCAACCCTGATGCATTTCGCAATCTGACTGACACTAACTCTCTCACCAGAGCCGGCCGTGAGGGAGCAGCTCCCCGCGCAGAAATGGGCACAATGTTGGCACCAGCTTCAACCAGTACGCTGACAGACCTCAGCGACCGCATGCTGACCACCATGGGTCTTCTGGAAGTTCACCAGCGCCGATGGAGGTGCCACTGCGCTCGGAACCTGAAGACGATGGCGAAGTGCGCCAGGTTCACGATGGCACAGCACGCGAGTGCTCCACGCGACGAGGGCGGCGGGCTCTCCGCCAAGCCATGTGCGACCAACTCCACGCAGAATGTCTGGGGCGAAGAAAGATTTCCACATCTGGACGACGCGGTCGAACTCGATGCCCATTTCGGAGATGCCGCCGCGGCTCCACTTGATATTTGGCACGCCTCGCGGGGAAGACCTCGACCTTCGCAATCGGCCCCCATTGAGATGACAGCGCGCCTCCTTCGCGGCCAACGTAAATGCGGCACTGTGGTGAGAACCCCCGTATCATGGCTTGCTTGACTTCGCGACATCCTGTATCTCTGGCGATGTCACACCGATTCTGGCAACGACTGCTGGAGATTCGATCTGCCTGCCTCCAGGGCCGAGATCGCGAAACTTCCTCCACGCGCCAGCACGCAGACGAAGGGCAGCGCGCGCCTGCCGCATCCTCGACTGAACTGCGGCCGCCATGGGACCCTCGAAGCGCAGGACGAACGATCGGCTGAGCCGGGGGCCCTCGAGCTTGCACCCCTGTCCGAGCCTGAAGTTGCGTGCAACGAGCCACGCCTGAATGCACTCGGCGATCTGACAGACACTGGCCCCCTCGCGCGCCCCAAGCGTGAAAATCAAGCCGTCAGAAACCTCCCCGCCCCACTCAGCAGCGCGCTCGGCCGCGACGCGAGCAGGGGTAACCATGGCCAAGGCAAGCTCCTTCTGCAGCCATTTGAGGCGCGCGGCCA